GTTGACAGGGATGGGAAGTTATCAAGACTACCATCACTTTCAATCGCGTCGCCATTCCAGCGCCTCCCACTGTAACCGCAACTTTAGACTAATGATCGTCTTCGTGCTCGTGTCACGTGACGACCTAGGCACTCCAGCGTTAGCCAATCATTGCAGAGCACTGGCTCACTGCTCTCGCTCGGCAGTGTCCAGGTCTGTTGTTTTTCACGATACAGGGAATTACGTAGTTAGATACCGTTTTCTGATTGTTTGATGACTGGGGAGATTCAGCAGTTATTTTTAGCATGGTTGCTGCCAGGTTTTGACTGGAGAGTGCGCTCCCAGCGTTAACCACGGCCGCCATATTTCGCTAACTCTTGTTAGTGCTGGAATGCCTGTACATTATCATATGTCTTGTATCTGCTGTTATTCTTTGAATAAAATATTTCTCCGTGTCATGTGTCATTATTTTTCACCATGATCTTGTATGTTCTATACTCTTCCGCATGTGTAGTCTTATTATTATAAACATGTGTTAGTTTTGTGTCAATCACCGGGGGAAATCCACGCACCCGTGGAAGACCCCATGGGGAATCCCGCAGAGAGTGCGGAGAAAAGAGCAAGAAGAACGATATACTGTATACCGACGAAGAACTTGAAGACAACATATAGGCCTACTTGCTACCACTATTCAGCGTGTTCACCTGCTAGTGAATGGTGAGTATGTCCACTTTGGCATATATAGTATCTCGAGTAGTGCAAGAATCTATAGAGACAAAATCTCTATATTTCACAGTGATAACACATGCTTTTTGTATACACAAGTTTACTTGACTTTTTCATCAACATAAAGTACTCAAATTGAAATATGTATGTAACAATAATGTTTTTGTTGAATCTTTGTATATAAGAGAAAGTAATGCTTACACACAATTGAAATAAAACCAACAATAATATTGATTTTTTTTAATGATTTATACCTGTCCTCATATGAGCCCACAGTGCAATCAGGGTTATGACTTTTTATTATCAATAGCACCCGCTATGCCATAATTGCCTGTGTTAGAGAATAGGAAAACACCGGACTAGGTAGGGTGTGTTGAATATTATGTTTATGTTTACTATAATTGACAATTTATGAATTTTTATATTTGTATTATGTTATATAATATTAATTTTTGTACCAGAATTTATTTATAGTTTTTATTTATTTCTTTTTTACTTCTTAGATATCTGTTTCACAAATGGCGTCAATTTCTGGCGATGAAGCATTGCGGCTTCTACTAGCTGATATGGGATCAGATTCAGAAGATGATCTGGTGTCAGATGATGAGGAAAATGATTTAGATTTTTCTGACACTAACATCAGTCATACTGAGTCAGAATCAGAAGAAGATAAACCTGCACATGCCCCTGCTCCCAGACCTGCACCCGCAACGATTTGAAGAGATTCGGAAGTACTTGCATTTTTGCCTTTGGAAGTTGCGGCCTCTTCTCGAAAAATTGAAAACTACTTTCGAAGAGGCTGTCAATCCTGAGGAGTTCCAGGCCATTGACGAGATGATGATTCCCTTCAAAGGAAAATCGATCATCAGGTAATACATGAAGAGTAACCGACATAAATGGGGATATAAGGTGTGGGTCTGTGCTGGGGTATCTGGCTATGTCTATGCTTTTGAAGTTTATCAAGGCAAAACTGCTTGAGCTACTCCAGTAGATATTGGAGTGTACCAGGACACAGTACTGTAGTAAGATTGTGTGAAAATGTGAAGGACTTGAATTTGAAATTGTTTTTTGACAACCTATTTACAACAATCCCTCTAATTCTAAAATTGAAAGGCCAAGGAATTGAATGTGTTGGGACGATTAGAAAAAATAGGCTAATGGGAGCGGATGAAAAATTAAAAACTGTTCGTGAGCTAACAAGAGCTGGCCGAGGCTCAATGACGTGTAGTACATAAAATGAAAACATCACGATTACTCGGTGGATGGACAACTCTGTTGTCAACATCGCATCATCGTATGCTGGATTAGCTCCTACAGATAAAGCCAAATGGTACTCGAAAGTTAGAAAGGAGGTTATTGAAGTTGATCGGCCTTATGTGATAAAGATTCATAATAGCTACAAGTGGGGCGTGGACAAAATGGACCATCTTGTAGCGCTGTACAAATATTCGATACGCCAATATAAGTGGTATGCGAATTTTCTACCACTTTATGAATGTTGCTCTTTGCAATTCATGGCTTTTGTACAAACATGACAGTCCAGCAGGCCATGACTTGCTATGGTTCAAAACAACAGTAGCCAGAGCTCTGATCAACTGTGGGAACCTAGAACGACGGAAACGGGGACGTCCAAGTGAATCGTGCTGCACCTTTTGACCTCTAGTTGCGTCAATTTCTGCCAATTTCAAAACTTTTTAAATTTGAATGACCAATCTAGGCTAAATGTTGATACCAACATCATACAAATCCATTGAGTAAATCAAGAGTTATGAGCATTTAATGTTATCCCCTACCCCAGAAACTGTTGTTGATTACAAATTCTAAGATTATAACAAAATGACAGTAGTAAATTTAATCATTTTTTTTGTTAATATCACTGTTTTATACTCCATATGCTTATTTATAATAGAAAATACTAATTGGTATCAAATCTACTCACAACTGTAGATTTGTAAACACTTGTGAGTGAATAAATTTACAACTTTTCTGTGGCGGTCAATAACCTTTTGACCTCTAGTTACATCAATTTTGGCCTGTTTCAAATTTTTTTCAATTTGAATGACTGACCAATCTATAGGCTAAATGTTGATACCAACATCATACAAATCCATTGAATAAAGCAAGAGTTACGAGCATAAATGTTACCCCCTACCCCAAAAACTGTTGTTGATTACAAATTTCTCGGATCATAAACATTGATAATATTACAATAATGCATTTTAATTTTTTTCTTGTTAACCTCAATTTTTGTATTCCATATGTTAATAACTACAAGAAAAACACAATTTGTATCAAATACATCCAAAATTAGATATACGGCACTAAAGTTTATTGGTATTTTATGAAAAAATTTGCATTTTAGAAAAAGGTTGATGACCTTTTGACCTCTAGTGTCGTTATTAATTGTCGGATTAATTTTATTTAAACTGCATATGATTAAGAAACATATATGCTATACATTGCTACCAAAATAACATTGATGGGATTTAACTTCAATTTTTTTGTTCTATATGCCCGTAGGAACAA